GAGATAGAGGTACAATAGGCTTGTGGTTTCGACATTTTATGGCTAGAGTGATATATGCGAGACGATACCTACTTGCATCCACGTGCTGAAAGTGTGTATAAACAACACAAATTGGTAAGTTTGAGCAAGTGTTGTTAACATATATACTCTTTGTTGGTTTGAAAATGTTTGGTTAAGTACCTAGATAATTTGTTGTTTGTTGGTTTTAGATGTGTATAAAGTGTTGTTTGAGCAAATGTTTGGTTTCTGCATGTTAATCCTGATCCTGAAGTGAGCTGCGTGAAATTGATGTATTTGTAAAAGTTGATTTGTAGAGTTGATTTGTTTAATTGATAAGGAAATAAGAATTATTTTTTGCTTGTTTAATTGATTTGTAAAAGTTGATTTGTTTAATTGATGTGTAAATAATTCTTATTTTTTGCTTGTTTAATTGATTTGTAAAAGTTGATTTGTTGTTTTAAATTTCAATCTGCATTATGTTGAAGGCAAAAAAAGACCTGTTGAAAGTACACTTTCGCAACACGATGGTTGCGAAAGTCAAATTCGTGTTGCGATGGTTGTGAAAGTCAACTTCGCGTTGCGATTTCGCGTTTCAAATTTGACTTTCGCAACAATCGCAACAAAAAATCTGATAAATGATAACAACTGAACATATCATAGCAATGTTCAAACTCAAGTTACTAATGAATGTCTAACTGAAATGTATGCATTCACACATAAAATACACATAATACAACGTTTGCATTTAAAAATCACTTAAGTTAATAAGTCCCAAAAGGTGAAGTCGGTTGTGATTGGGATTTTGATTTCCTTTTTCTTGGCACCATATGAGCTTTGGATTTTGATGAGGATCCATATTTTGGTAGAGAAAAAGATGATTGTAATGGCACTGGTGATCCACATGTCAACATTGTATGACCACTTTCCTTGCACCGACTACATGTCGATATCCTCTTCTCTTCACCCTTAGACGGTATACGATCGTGATTTTTTGGTCAGCCAGGTAGCCTACTGTCCATGACTGGTGGCAAAACTGTTTGTAAGTCATCTGGTATGTCCCACTCAGAAGGATGTGGAATATGGTAGACAATCTCGGCATAAGTCTGTCGATATACTTCTGTAGTGTAGTAATCCATAGCGTATGCGCTTGAATCATCTTGGTTTAGATGAAGGGCAACTTTTATAACATAGCCACACGGATAACCAGATGTTTGTCATTTCATACAACTACACGTCTTTGCATTTAGATCGACAAGCCCATTTAAGTTATTATCCAATACTTCAAACAAAGTGTTTGAACATGGTTCAACTCTCCATGACGTTGACTTCACAACACATTTCGTTATCTTTTTTCAGTTCATGGTGAACACGACGTTCCAATGTTCCTGTAAATTTAAATAAATAATACTTAGTAAAATATATGATAAGTTACGAATTTAAAGAAATAATATATGCATGGTTTCTTTTCTTGTAGTACCACTGTTGAATAGAGGCTCGAAAAAACTCCATTAACATAGTAATGGGTAATTTTCGGGAATGACGACTTAGAGCGTTAATTGATTCTGCACTATTAGACGTCATGAAACCATATCTTGCTCCAAGTTGATGTAGTCTTGACCATCTTTCAAACCCGACATCTTCTAGTGTTTGAGCACATTGAGGCAAAACACGTCTTAAACAAATTATATGCTTATTAAAATCCACTTCCCGATAAGCTTTTATAGCCTTCCAGTATGTCCATTTGTGATTTTTTATACCAGCAGAACTTGATTTTAGATTTCTGTACAAATGAACACCACAAAGTCCATGAAAAGCATCTGAAAACACCTTCTAACAACGTTGTCAATTGAGTTTGCCCTATCGGATATGATTGTCAGATTGCTAATAGGACCTATGCAATCTCTAAGATGCCCCATAAACCATGTCCATGAATCAGAGGTTTCAGATTTGCCAACCCCGTAAGCTATTGGTAGTATCCCATTGTTAGCATCCATGGCTACTGCTAATAAGTTTACTCCAAGGTATCGACCTTTCAAATGTGCTCCGTCAACTATAATAAATGGGCGCATTCAAGTAATAAACGAACAAATCTACAAAATAATATACACAAGACATAATCATTTAAATGTGAAATGCATGTAACTAACAAAAATTTGTCAACAAAATTATATTGATTTACTAACCGCAGCACCAATGGCAATAAACAGCAACTCAAAGCGTCTATCTCTATCTGTTTTGATATGAGTTATCGACCCAGGATTTTTCAGCTTTAAATTGTGACAATAAGCCGACAATTGGGCAAACGATGCTTTTGGAGACCCCCTCAACAATTCCAAGGCATAACATTTGGCTCTCCAAGCTTGAGAATATGAGATATTAATCTTGAACCGAGCATTCATGTCAGTCATAATTTCATGTCCCCGATATACCCTGTCATTCAAAAATATTAACTCAGCCAGAAAACCACCCAACACCTTTTTGTTTGCCTGTTTATGGTGAGGAAAAACTTGGGTTCTTGAACATGTATGTTTATCAATAAAAGTCCTAACTTGAAACATTTCTCAATCTTTTATCCTCTTTGCAATCATATGCCACGTACAGTTTTTGTCAATCATACACTTTGTTTCGAAACGATCTTTGCTTGATTTGTTAACTTTTAGTTGATAGTCATCTTCCAAACATTTCGTATACAAAGCTATCTTCAAGTCTTCCTTTGTATCAAAACAATCATCTTTCTTGATACGAATAACTTTTGTGTAACAATCAACTGCTATCTTTACCAACTCTTCTTCCAATATCTGAAGTAATTCTGGCATATTCCAGTTATACTCCCGTGGCATTTTTTTCTTTTTCTTTTTTTCGGGGACTTCTTCTTCTTCTTCAGGGTTATATGAATTACAGAATGGATGTTCAACATGTTCATTCACAATCGTAACTTCCTCCTCATTATTATCAACAACATCTTCCTCGGCAACGGTTATTTCATCATTAAAATTCGGGTATTGACCAATATCAAAATCATTACACGCAGGGTCTGTTTCTTCTTCTGAAACATCATCAAAATCCGAGTATTGGTCAAGATCAAAGTCTGGGTATTGACCAAGATCAAATTTCGAATACTGACTAGTACTCACAATTTTTTCTGTTGGCTCATAATCGTCTAACTGGTCAATACGAAAACCGGAATTTGGTACTGAAAGTTGATTGAGATTTGGATTAGGAAAATGTTGCGTGTTTTGAGATTATGTTTGATATTGTGTTTGGTATTGGAAATGTGGTGAAACAAAATTTTCTTGGTGATGAAATTGTGGTGGAACCATTAAATTTTGAGGTTGATAACAATGTTGTACATTGTGAGCACCATAAACTGGGGTTGAAAAACTTAGTTGATTACTACCCGCTACTGACCCAACTTCACTACTTCTAGGTTCAACAACATACAATGTAACATCATCTTCTTGCGAAACACTAATGTAAGCAATGAATCGTTCAACATCTTCATTGTCGGTTAACAAATAAACTTTACCTTTTCTCTGATAAGATAGCCTAAATCCACTTAGAGGCTCTAAATTCAATTTCTTTACAATATGTAACATTAGAGTTTCATAAGTTAATTTTTTAAATGACAGTTTTAGTTGAAGATTCATAGGTAAAGACATATATTGTAAAACACCATGAACATTCTCCCATGACCCTCCAAAACACAAATCTATCCAAACATGATCAACATTAGATGATTTCATTCTACAAATTGTAAATTAATTTACTAAACAAACGAGCTATAAACTACATATCATCACTAACTTAGAGAAAAACATACCTTTATTAAGTTGATAGTTGATAATTTGGGAGAGAAATCATTGAAAAAATTATATAGAAATAAAATTATGTAAAAAAAAAATTAGAGATGGGGAAGAATGTCGTTGGATATAGGAACGGATGTCGCCGGAAAGAGTGATAGATGGAGATGGAATGAGTTGCGATTTAGAGATTTAGGTTATGAGTTGTTACTGTTGCATAGTTATATACCCAAAACATTTGTGTTGCGAAATTAAAACCTGTTGCAAAATTAAAATTCGTGTTGCGAATTTGAAAATCGAGTTGCTACAACAAAATTCGCGTTGCGAATTTGAAATTCAGTGTTGCGAATTTGGAATTCGCGTTGCGAATTTGTTGGTCATTTTCGCAAATCCAAAAAAAAAATTAGTTAAAATCGTATATTATAAGACATTTTCGGTCACTGAAGTTATTTTCTCTAAACATACACTATGAGACGGTTTTTACATATCGGGTCAGTTGGTGTTGGGTATCCAATTATAGGGAAGGATAAATTATGTGTTTAATATCTAAACTATCAATTTGGTCAGTTTTAATACTTAAGCTTTCATATTTTTTTAAAAATTATGTTTAATATCTAGTTTTTATTTCATTTTTAATACCTCGTCGTTAAGTTTTTAACGTCAATGTATTTTTATGAGAAAATTAGATTATTTATTATCAACTATCTACTCACTCCTATTTTGGTATTAAAGTTTAAAAATTTTCAATTTAACTACTCAACTTTCAAATTGTTCCTATTTTAATCACTCTAATTTATTTTACTAATAATTTTTGTGACATGATATATTTTATTATTGTTTTATTAATATATAGTTAAAATTTAAAAAAATGAAAGGTAGAGTGATTAAATTACGAGTAATTTTAAAGTTAAGTAATTAAATTAAAAAAAGTAAACTTTTGTAACCAAAATAAGAGTAAAAATATAATTGAGAGATGAATGATACAATTTATCCATAAAAAAGTGTCATATGCAAATCACCATTAAATTTTTTACAACGAGATACTAAAATGAAATAAAAATTAAATGTTAATTGTGATTTTAAAAAAATTAAAAATTTAAGTATTAAAACATATCAAAATTAATAGTTAAGTACTAAACATATAATTTGTCATATAAATAAATAGTTTGGGGTGTATATATAGGACGTTTAGTTGGAATTATTCTCTTGGTCCCTAGTATCTGTTCTCGAGAGCTTTGATAAAGAAGATGCAGGTAAAGTCTCCCATCAAAACCCTAATTCCCTTTCTTGATTAATTTTAAAAATTCCGCCAAATTTCTAATTCCCAACCCTCTAAACCCTATATTTTGTTTATATGTTTGTCTCTTACTCTTTCATAAATTTTGCCAGGCCAGCGATAGGTTTAACATCAATTCCCAGCTCGAACATCTCCAAGCCAAATACGTCGGAACTGGCCATGCTGATCTGAGCAGATTGTTAGTTTATAATACTATTTCTTCTCTTCTATTAACTGAACAAGAGAATTGTAACTGCTAATCTATGTATTTCCTTGGCTCAATTGATGGCAGTGAATGGGCGGTGAACATTCAACGAGATAGCTACGCATCATATATAGGGCATTACCCAATGTTGGCTTACTTTGCTGTGGCTGAAAATGAATCCATTGGAAGAGAGCGCTACAACTTCATGCAGGTAAACCTTAATTCTTTAAGTTTGGTGTTTTTGGATTTATTATATTCGTGTTTCTTTGCTTGCCTGACGGTTCTCTACTGCGTGATATCTTAACTAAATTTTATGGATTTAGAATTTTGTGGAATGTAGAGGCATCGATGCTTTTCCTTTTTCTTTTCTTTTTTATCCCTTGGGATTTCTCTAAGCTTTTCGAGTTTCAAAATGGTTTTTTTTTTTGTATTCCATAAGACCAATTGCTTTTTACTACTTGAAAAGAGTTGAAAGCCTGCCTTACATTGAACAAAATGATTTCTTTTTGTGTTTTGTTGAGTGGAGAATTTGGGGTAGTTCTTTTTCTACCTGTTGGGGGTATGCCTAGAAAAGATTACACACATTTTTGCAATGCCAATTTGCCCAGACTTACTAACAAATGTATGAGGTGCATCCTATGCCATATATGGGGCTCTTGGATACATTCTGTACCTACTAATGGCTTTTCGCAATGGTACCCGCCTGTTTATTTCAATCAAAACTGCTGAATATTCAGTCTCTTTTAGGTTGTCGGTCCTCTGCTCCAGTCAGTCTCTGTTGTAAGACCGAGTCTTGATTTATATCATCTTACTAAATGACGAACTGAAATTTAATATCTTGGTTGGTTAAATGAGTCTCAAGGTATAATTGTTTGTGATCTTAATTGTGTAGAAAATGCTTCTGCCTTGTGGTCTGCCTCCAGAAAGAGAAGACGATTAAAAGCTGCAGCTCGGCCTATGAAGTGAAATGCTAGGAGGTCCAAGCTTTTCCCATCAGGCTAGTAATATCCATCTTATCGTGTTTATTTTTAACTTGAAGCATGAAGTGTTGTAACCTCAACTTTATCCATGGCAAGCTTTGTTGAATTCTAGCAACTATTTAATTCTTAAAACGTCCCTGCTCATCTTGCTGATTCTGGGTTTGCAGCTATACAATATTTTTAACTTTTTTGGTTGTGTAGTCCCTGGGTTTGTTTGTTTCAATGTTTGCATGGGCTGTGTGCACGAATTTGGTGTTTGTTTCCCGCATATTTGATTGGTTCCAACAAGCTAAATAACAGGAAATTAAGGGGGGGAATGCCCGACAGAATCACATACGTTAAAAGAATCCATTTTTGCTCCAGTCTTCAGGAGTTAAGTCTTTAAGTTTTAATTGATTGAGCCGGAAGAAGTACATTGGTAAACTTACACGGTGGCCGGAGTACTAGTGAAATCAGATCAAAGATGGGTTCGTTTATATTTTATTTTATTGGATTTTCTATAACAACTCTGTTTGGCACAAGGCCGAGCAATACATCTCACAGCCCATATGCACATGGCTGGGGGTTTTTCGCCCAATAGGGCAGCCCGAGAAAAAAAATTACAAAATAGGGCACACACACTTTTATTTTGGGATATACTGCATTTTGGTACATAATATTTTTCGTTAATAATGTCTCAAAGTATACAAATATTTACCCATTTATCCCAAAGTCTGTTATATACATTATTATTTTTGGTTATGTACAACTTTTTTATCAAAGAAATATAATTGACTTTAATGAGAACTGATAAACTACAAGTCAGGTCTTCTAGATTTTATTCAGTTTAATTTTTAAATTTGTTATTCAATCTTAAATTAATTTCTATGTATTTTTATATTTTATAATTAAGGACAATCTTATTCACAATATTTTACGTGATTTACCCTCTCATTAAAGTTTTCTTTTTATAAATATGGGTTGTATATAAGATAATATTTATTTAAAGACTCTCAATCATTTGACAATAAATACTCAATCTGATGTGCTCGAATATGGGACCTCGAAAGATAACAATGAGCCCCTTCACCATTGAAGTCACTCGGTTAAAGTTAACTGCATTTTTTAAGTTTTATGTGACACACTCTGATTAGTTTTTTTTAACGTTTGTAATGTCAATGGGGTAAAATTGGCGATATTTATATATATTAGGATATTTTTTAAAGAAAAAAAAGGGCAGGAGGTTGTCAAAATGAAAAAACAGATAAACGCTAAAGGTGCATTAAACCTAATAAATAATGATACGAGAATAACACCTCTGTCCTTTACAAGCTTTATGTTTATGGAATGCTAGCTTTGCTTTTTCGTAATCTTTCGAAGCTATTGGATACAAGTAGCACGAGCCACTTGCAAGATTGGATTTTAATATAAAAACAACAAATGCCATTTTCATGCTAAAATCTCTGGAGTTGAAAAACGGCGGGAAGATCAGCCTGTTCATCCCATTTTTTAATTCAAGTTGGCCGACTTACTAATTTATTTTTCCAAACTTCCGTGTCGAAACGATTTTTTTCTTGAAGGGTGAAAAATGGTGAGATTTTGAAAACCACATTAATTCTTAATTGCCTCTTTTCATTTTAAAAACATATGCGATTTAAAAGACCTCTCGTTTCGAAAAATTTGAATTTCCTTTACGATTGACAAATACGGTTCGAAGAGTCGCCACCAATCTTTGATTAGGGTGTGATTGGACACCCAAAATTGCTTTGTCATTTTAAATAAAAATTAATTTTAATTAAAACAACAAATTGAGGTCTGCGTTACCAAAATCCGAGTTCGGGAGTCGGTTACGTGTGGGGAAGGATTAGCACCCCCACAACGCCCTAAATTGGTACCTAATCGATTAATTAACGTTTTTGCAATGAACTTTACAAATTCGAAGTTAATTTGAATTTTGATCCCATAAAACAAAAATGTAAATTTAAATCATTCAAGAACACTCAAACGAATTAAATTAAAATTACCAAGTCATTTTAGAAAGATAAAGAATGTTCGATTATTTACAAATATCGAGACCAGATCTTAAAGATATAACAACCTTTTCTCGATATATTTAAATAAACGAACATTTCTTTTTCTCTCGTTCCCAAATTTTAGGTGACAAATCAATTTTTTTTGTTTCACTTTCGGGATACACTTTTAATTTAAAATTGTCGAAAGTGGATCTCTAATCAGTTAAGACAACCCACTTAAAACAATTTTAAATTAAAAGGGTATTACCCTTAAATCAATTATGTAACGATGTCGAATTGTACATATGAGGCTAACGTGCAAATTATACAAAAGGATGTCATGCAAAACTAATCATATAATGGCACACATTCGAATAACCATCTTAGTCTAAAATAAAATATGCACATACATTAAAATAACATCAATTGCTATATATATAAAAACCTATTGTCAATAACGACAATCTCGTATTCAATACTGACATGGGGACCAAAATAACAGAAAACCAAAACTAAACATACAAAATAGAAATTAAACACTAAACTCAACAAGCATACTAAGTAACTAAATTGTCATATATAAAAATTACAAGCTAGATACGAAGACAAACAAACAAAAGAATAGTAACACACTGGGTACTAAATTAGAATATGCATAAACAAAGAGAACAGAATTAGGAAAACACAAAAGACTCGTTACAGGACTAAAATAGAAGAACATGAAACAACAGGCCAAAAATATCAACAACACAAAATATGACTTAACTAAGAGATGGATTAAAATAAATATTCTGAAATTTAAGAGCCGAATACATAAAGTTATCAAAACTTAAAATAACATGGCTCGTACTAAAATGTAACAAACATAAAGGTTAAAAGCCAAATTCGAAATGTACACAACACCAAAGCAAGGACTAAAACGAAACATATGAGAACTGCAGGGGACGTCTACGCGATTAACCCTCTCCTAGACGCAAGTTCTAAACGGTGCCGTTTAGTTTTAACCTAATTTTCATTCTAAATTCAGCCTCACTTTAATAAACTCTCCCCTCCCTTGCCGTTCTCTCAAAGCTCCTTTCATTCTCTCTCAAAGCAACCAAACGAGGCCATGGCCACCATGGCCACCGCCCAAGGCTCCGATAACGACACACACAACCTCGAGTCCACCCCATAAATCACCTTGAACCCTTAAGCTTCAAATCTCTCACAGCAAGAAACCATAACCCAAAGGTCAAAACAACCCCCTACCTTCACTGCTGAACTCTCGACCACCGCGGACTCACCCTCTAAAGCTCCGTTGAGGAACCAAGACCTCACGACCTCGCTCTACCCCTTTGTTACCGAACCGAAGCCTCACAAACCCAAACTCCACCAAGACTCCCTAAATCCCTAAAACACACAGATCAAAGGCCAAAAAAAAGAATACCTTGAGCGATTCTAGGCGGTTCCGACTTCGGGTGGCCAGAGCTAACTCCTAATGACGGGAAAGGTAAGGATTGTCTTTTTTCTTGTTTTATGGTTTCTGGTTAATAATGGTCAACTCTCGGGTTCTCTCATTACTACTGATGGATAATTTTTGATTATTGGTGATTTTTTTCGTCCCAAAAGAAACCCACTCTTAACCGAGGACCTTGGCAGTAAACCATTCCGACGACCACCCTCAACGGTGACTCTATATTTCTCCGGCAATGGACTCAAATAACCAAGGTAATGAAATTACTCTAACTCCTAAATTTCTTTTATTTATTCCTTTACGCATAAAAGAAAATGAAGAAATTTTGGAAACTTTTCATGCTCGCACTATTTCACATGGATTCTGTTTTTTTTTAGGGTATTACTTAATCCTTGCTAAATTTCCTTTGATTGCAAAATAACATGCACACACATAGAAATAAAAACATATATAAACAGTAAATAATACTCAAGAAGAATACCTCGGAATTCCTCGTATATTATTGCTTTCACTGGTTTTTGCAATAGTATTCAATTGCTTCTGGAATTTTTCCTCTTGTATTTGTTTAAAAAAAATGTAATACGAAGAAAGAATTGTTTTTTTACTCTCTGATCCCTAGATGGTCCCCCCTTTTTTCCTGTTGATGAATGGTTATATCTAAAAAAAACTGACCATCCCCCATTTACAGTTTTTTTTTGATAACTCACAATACCCCCCACTCTCTACAAACCGTTCCCTCTAATTTTTCTGGTTTCTTAACTACCCAGACAAATTAAGCATCTACAGCTGCCCCTCTTTGTTCATTGTCGTGTAACGAGAATAGAGCAAAGATCAAAAGATGACCGAATTTGTCTGGTCTTGAGAATGTTACGTCAGGATAAATACTTGAAAAATCTTCAAATGACGAGCCTGCTCCCTATTCCTTCAGGAAGTATAAGACTCGAACAATCTTCATAAAACGTGTCTGCTCTCTATTCATTCAGAGAGTATAAGACTTGAACAATCTTTAATAAAACGGGTCTGCTCTCTATTCCTTCAGAGAGTATAGAACTCGAAAAATCTTCAATAAACAGGTCCGCTCCCTATTCTTTCAGGGAGTATAGGACTCAATCTTCAACGAACTAGTCCGCTCCCTATTCCTTCAGAGAGTATAGGACTCGATCTTCAACGAACTTGTCCGCTCCCTATACATTCAGAGAGTATAGGACTCAATCTTCAACGAACTTGTCCGCTCCCTATTCATTCAGAGAGTATAGGACTCAATCTTCAACGAACTTGTCCGCTCCCTATTCATTCAGAGAGTATAGGACTCAATCTTCAACGAACTTGTCCGCTCCCTATTCATTCAGAGAGTATAGGACTCAATCTTCAACGAACTTGTCCGCTCCCTATTCATTCAGAGAGTATAGGACTCAATCTTCAATGAACTTATTTGCTTCACTACTCTTTCGTGAAGGCTTATAGATGATTTGCTTCAAAGGTCAAACCAGTTATCTTCATCTCGATGCTTTCATATCTTCAATCTTCAACTATCCCTGGGAAACCTGTAGATATTTAAGCCATCATGCGATTATGAATGCCATGATCCTACTCATGCCTAAAATGTATGCAATTATGCAATTCAATGTGTTTTCTTCTTTGTAGGAACTCTATCTCCTTTTGATCTCGATGGAACTCGGCTTCATCTTGGGCACAGAACGTTTGACCAG